CCCTACCTACTACCCCAGCCAGAGACTTCTGAACAAGGCAACTTGCAGCCCCAAAACCTCCACAGCCTGACGGGCCCCCACAGGGCCCAGTCAGCAGCCCTCTTCCCCTTCCCCACTTACCCTCAGCCAGAGAACTTGAACAGGGGCCAACTGCTGCTCCAACCCCACAGCCTTGATGCCCCTAAGGGGCCAGGTACAGGCCAGCCCTTCTACCCCATTCCCCTACGGACCCTCAGCCAGCACCTAACCAGGCAAACTGCAGCCCCCAAAACCTCCACAGCCTGCACGCCCACAGGACCCAGTACAGAGCCCTACTACCCTCAGGCCAGCACCTAACCAGCCCAACTGCAGCCCCAAACCTCACAGGGCCTGACGCCCCACAGGCCGCCATTACAGCAAGCCACTTCTTCCCCTTCCCTACGACCCGCCAGCCACCTAAACAAGCCAAACTGCCAGGCCCCAAACCTTCCACAGCCTGCGCCCCCACAGCGGCCCGAGTACAGCAGCCCTTTCTTCCCCTTTCCCATTAACTACCCTCAGCCAGAGACTGAACAGCCAACTGTGACCCTCCCAAACCTCCACAGCCTGATGCCCCGCAGGCCCAGTACAGTCCCTAAGCCATGCCTGAAAAGGCCAACTCCACTCCCAAACCTCCACAGCCTGACGCCCCACAGGGCCGTACAGCCCCCCCTTCTCCTTCCCTACTACCCTCAGCCAGAAACTGAACATGCCAACTGCTGCCTCCCAAACCCTCCACAGCCTGGACTCCCACAGGGCCCGCAGTACAGCAGCCCTTCTTCCCCTTCCCTACTACCCTCAGCCAGAGACTGAACAGGCCAACTGCAGCCCCAAACCTCCACAGCTGGACGCCCCCACAGGGCCCAGTACAGCAGCCCTTCTACCCTTCCCCTACGACCTCAGCCACACCTTAACCACAAACTGCAGCCCCCAACCTCCAAGCCTTGCGCCCCACAGGCGGGCCCAGCCTCAGCTACCCTCAAGTGGCGTCCAGCAGGCTGAAAGGCCAAACTTCCACTCCAAACCTCAAGCCTGAGGCCCCACAGCGGCCCAGCTACAGCATCCCCTTCCCCCACTACCCTTCAGCCAGAGACTGAAACAGCCAACTGGCTGCCTCCCAAACCTCCCAGCCGACGCTGAGCCCACAGGCCCCCAGTACAGCACCCTTCCCCCATACCCTCAGCCAGAGACTGAACAGCTCAACGGGCCCCTGGCTTCCCAAACCTTCCACAGGCCTGACACCCACAGGCCAGTACAGCTTACCCTCATCCAGTTGCCTGAGGAAGCGCCAACTTCTCCACTCCAAAACACTCCACAGGCCTGTATGCCCCAGAGCCCAGCTACAGCCAGCCCTTCTTCCCCTTTCCCCACTTTACCCTCGGGCCAGAGACTGAACAGGCCAACGCTGCTCCCAAAACCTCCACAGCCTGATGGCCCACAGGCGCCCAGTACAGCAGCCCTTCTTCCCCTTCTTCCCCTTCCCCACCCCTCACTACCCTCAGCCAGAGACTGAACGCCAACTGGCCTGCTCCCAAACCTCCACAGCCTGGGATGCCCACAGGGGCCCAGTACAGCACCTTCCCACTACCCTGAGCAGGAGACTGAACAGCCAACTGCCCTGCCTCCCAACCCTCACAGCCTGCGGCCCCACAGGCCAGCTTACAGCAGCCCTTCCTTCCCTTTCTTCCCCTTCCCCCACTACCTCAGCCAGAGACTGAACAGCCAACTGCCGCTCCCAAAACCTCCACAGCCTGAGGGCCCCCACAGGCCCAGTACAGCCACCCTACCACTACCCTCAGCCCAGAGAGCTGAACAGGCCAAGCTGCCTGCTCCCAAGCCTCCACAGCCATGACACCCCACAGGGCCAGCTACAGTACCTCAGCCAGCTGCATGAAAGCCCCAACTTCACCCAAAAACCTTCCACAGCCTTGGATGCCCCAGAGCGGGGGCCTAGTACAGCAGCCCTCTTCCCCTTCCCCAACTACCCTCAGCAGGAGGACTGAACAGCCAACTGTGCCTCCCCAACCATCCACCAGCCTGATGCCCCACAGGCGCCCAGTTTACGCAGGCCCTTCTTTCCCCTTCGTTTTCCACCTTCCACATACCCTCAGCCCAGAGACTGAACAGGCCAAACTGCTGCCTCCCAAACCTCCAACGGCCTGATGCCCCACAAGGGCCCAGTACAGCACCCTTCCCCCCACTACCCTCAGCCACGAGGATGAACAGCAAACTTACTGCCCCACAGCCCTGAAAAAGGCAACGCGGCATGGGCTCCTAAACAACACAGCTTTACAACCATATATTCACACTTGTAACTTTACCCCCCTGCGTACCCCTTGCAGCGCAAACACAACAGGTCACAGCCTCAACTCAATAGTATTCCATACATGCCCCCAATGTACCTGTCCTCGTTCTGGCCCACTGGAATTTCTAATTGCTGTCCTCAAATTGCCCCTTTTCATCAACACTCCATCAAATAGCTCCCTTCTGGACTTGGCATTCCAGGAGTTCACCTTCATTCCATTCAGACTGGGCCTTTCCTTGCCTCAATGTCCTTATTCTGGTTTTGGCAGGGGCTTGCGGAATTTGCCCCAAAGCCAACTTATAACATCAATGAACCCTACCACAACGAACATCTTCAACCATACCTCAGTCCCTTCCATCTCAAACATGAAAAGCAACTTCTGCTCCCGAACCTCCACATGCGCCTGATGCCCCCCACAGGTCCCAGCTACAGAGCCTTTCACCCCTCCCCCCACTTTACCCTCAGCCAGCCCTACCTGAAACACCAACTGCGCTTTCCCAAACCTCCACAAGCCCCCCACAGATGCCCCACAGGGCCCAGTTAAGCAGCCCATCCACCCCTTTCCCAACTACCCTCAGCCAGAGCCTGAAAAGCCACTCGGCTTCTCCTTCCCACAACCTCCACGCCTGGGATGGCCCACAGGGCCCTGTACAGCAGCCCTTCTAACCCCTTCCCCTACTACCCTAGCTAGCACCTAAAACCCAGGGCCAACTGCGCAAACCTCCCCAGCCTGCACCCCACCAGCGGCCAGCTACAGGCAGCCTTTCCACCCCCTGCCCCCACTACCTCAGGGCCAGTACCTGAAAACACCAGACTGCTGCTTCCCAAACCTCCACAGCCCTGATGCCCCACTTAAGGGCCCAGCTTAAAGCAGGCCCATACAACCCCTTTCCCAACTACCTCAGCCAGAGCCTGAAAGCCAACTGCTCCTCCCACTCCACAGTCTGATGCCCCCACAGGGGCCATACAAGGGCAGCCCTTCTACCCCTTCCCCTACTACCCTCAGCCAGCACCTAACAGCCCAACTGAGACCCCAACCTCCCCAGCCTGACGCCCCACGCCGCCCCAGCTACAGCAGCCCTTCCACCCAACCCCCCCACTCCTCACCAGCCCACTAACCAGCCACTGCCAGCCCCCAACCTCCCCGCTGATGCCCACAAGGCCCAGTACAGCAGCCCTTCTTCTTCTTCCTCTTTCTCTCATCTATTTTATACCCCTCCCCATCTTACCTCAGCCAGAGACTGATACAGTCATTGCTGGCTCCCCAAACCTCCACAGCTGTAGTTGCTCCCCCACAGGCCTAGTATCGGCAGCTCCTTCTACCCCTTCCCCCACTACCCTCAGCCAACACACCTAACAGCCAACTGCAAACCCCACAAACCTCCCAGCCTGATGCCCCCACAGGGCCCAGTACAGCAGCCCTTCCACCCCCTCCCCCACTACCCTCTGCCAGTACCTGATAAGCCAATGGCTGCCCCCAAACCTCCACAGCCTGATGCCCCACAGGGCCCAGGAAAGGCAGTCCATCCACCCTTTCCCAACTACCCTCAGCCAGAGCCTGAAAGCCAACTGCTCCCTCCCAACCTCCACAGCCTCTGATGCCCCACAGGGCCCCAGTACAGCAGCTCTCTACCCCTTCCCCTATACCCTCAGCGCAGGCACCTACCAGCCAACTTTAGCCCCCAAACTCCCCAGCCTGACGCCCCACAGGGCCAGTACAGCAGCCCTTCCACCCCTCCCCCACCTACCCTCCGCAGTGCCTGAAAAGCCAACTGCTGCTCCCAAACCTCCACAGCCTTGATGCCCCACAGGCCCAGTACAGCAGCCCTTCCACCCCCTCCCCATTACCCTCACCCAGGAGCTGAACAGCCAACTGCTGCTCCCGAACCTCCACAGCCTGATGCCCCACAGGGCCCAGTACAGCAGCCCTTCCACCCCCTCCCCCACTACCCTCAGCCACAGCCTGAAAAAGCCAACTTCCGCTCCCGAACCTCCACAGGCCTGATGCCCCACAGGGCCCAGTACAGCAGCCCTTCTACCCATTCCCCTACGTCCCTCAGCCAGAAGCCTGAACAGCAAACTTACTGGCCCCACCAGCCTGCTGAAAAGGCAACGGATGCTCCTAAACAACCACATCTACAACCATATATTCACAACTTGTAACTTTACCCCCCTGCTACCACCTTGCAGCAACCACAACAGGTCACAGCTCACTCAATAGGCATTCCATACATGCCACCAAATGTACTGTCCTCAGTTCTGCCCATCTGGGATTTCTAATCTGCTGTCCTCAAAATTGCTTTTCATCCAACATCTCCATCAAATAGTCCCTTCTGACTTGGCATTCCAGAGTCACCTTCATTCCAGTCAGGACTGCCTGTTTCCTTCCTTCAAATGGCATATCTTCAATGGCATATTCTGGTTTTTGGCAAGGGCTTGGAATTTGCCTCAAAGCCAACTGAAACATCAATGCAACCTACCACAACAACATCTTCACCTATTCCTCAGTCCCTTCCATCTCGACATGAAAAGCAACCAAATGTCCAACCACTAGATGGAATTCCTGCTGCAAATCATGATTTAATCAACCCAACAAAACCTGAATGGTCAGTTTATCCTTATAGTGTACCAGGATTAACTTATCCTAATTTGCAATATTTACCACAAGGCCAATTGCCATTTAAATACAATGTGCCTTCTAGACCACAGGCTCCAGGTATTGAACCAGTGCTGCAATATGAGCCATATAACATACAGGCCCAAAAGGGCCAATTATCACCCAGGGGCATGAGTTATCCATCAGGGCCTAATTTCATGTCCCATATTGGCCAATACCTACAACTGCAGCATAAAGCCAAGCGGGGAAATGTGCTTCCGGCCAAGGAACTACAGCCATCCAACAAAAATGCCAGTCTATCTAAAGGTCCTGAACCTGATCGTCTTCTGGTCCCGTACTACATGCTTCAAGATGCTCAAATGCATACCGATGACAAATCAAGGGCCTCTGGCAACGCCTCACAGCCATATGTGACTGCCTCAAAGAAAGCAAATGAACATGAGCAGACTGTGCACTATTCTGAACCAAAGAGTTATGTGCTTCTACAGCATGGCCCACCAGGAAGGGAGTCTGATGATAATCCAAAAGGTAAACTATTGTTTTTCACTCTAAATGGTGAATGCGTTTAATGTTTTGCTACGGTGACTTGGACTAATGTGTGCCTCTCTTGCAGGACTGAGCCAACTGCTTCAGAGATGGGGTATGAAAAAGGAAACAGAAATGAGTCCTTAAATGTGAATAAAGAGTTGAAATGGAATACCTAAGGCTTTTTATTGTTCCTGTTACGCTTGTGGAATTCCAAATTGTCTGCTTTTGGTCATTGTCTTGCAAAATGTGAGTACGGAGGAAAGCAGAATATTGTACTCGGCTCCTTTTGCAGTTGCATTGACAATCACTGACACCCTTTATATTTGCAAGGTTTCAAGTGGACGGCTTTCCCCTGTAACTTGCTGCTATTCAGAATCAAAAGGTGCATTACCCTTGAACTTATTTGTCTTACTTATTTTTGTCTTGCCATGAACTGGTATTTCCTGAAAATTGACCCATTCATGCAAACAGACTTACTATAATTGCCCCATTCGACAATATTGACCCTGAAGTAGAACGCTAAACTTTTGTGCCAAGGTGTAACAGTTGGGTGTCTTTATGAAACGTAAAATATTTTAAAGTGGAATTTTCCTCTTTTGAACGTGTGAATATATATATTTAAAATGTAGATTTGCAACTACAATTTTTACAGTCATTCTAACCAGTGAACTACCAGTGAAACATATTTGTGTTTAAAAACCTGTCTAGACATTGGATGTAATGAACTGAATGTTGAACAGGCCAATTTCAAAATGTTGTTTATTGGGAAATGTCAATGGGTTCACAGGGGTGTCATTGGCATTAGTCAACACACTTGGCAAACAGCCATTTGTTTCACAATCACCTTTAAATATGTGGCATGACGGATATCAGTGTGTCCTTATCGAACATGTCAATGGCCTTGGGTATACTACTGAATGCTTCTAGGAAATGTAGTGCAGCAGAAATGTTTCAGTACATTTAAAGGTGGGGTAGGTAAGTTTGAGAAACTGGCTCGAGATACACTTGTTATATTCCATGGAATGCTCTTAACATCCCGATAGCAATGAATATCAAGTGCTTTGACAAACAATCCATTAAAAAATGTCATCTGTGGAAGCCGTAGTACTGTAAAAAGCACGACCAATCATTTTAGCCGGCCCGGCTAAAATAACTGGATGGCCTGCTACCTGCCTGTCAGCCTTCCATCTGTGCACAAACTTATCTCGTGCCCTCATTGCTCATGTGCGCGTTCGTTTGTGTTGGAGGAGGGGCTCTGTAAGGAAGTGGCAGATATTTTCCGGCTGTGTATTTTCAAATTCTAGTTCACTCGAGCTGGTTTCTCAAATGACCTACCTTTAAAGGATGACTGGTGACCAAATAGAACACACAATTTGACTTGGGACATTTTATTCAGCATCCAATACAAGTATGTATACATTTGATTTTAGGCACATTTTACAATGAATTAGTTTCACTCTATAATGGATTATTCTTCGTAACCACATTAGTCATACATTATTTTAGTGCCAGTGTAGCTGAAAGAAGCAAGTACAGAGTCTGTAGGACCTTAACTCTTAAAAGAATATTTTCCTTCCTGGGCACACAGGCACAACAACAATGGGGTCTACCACTGCGGGGGCAGCTGCAACAGGTACATCTATTTTCACAACAGGGACCTCAGCACTGTTTGAGGAATCTGAGTCCGATCCAGCGTCAGCAACTGGAGCAGCATCGACAGCGGGATCAGCCGCAGGTGCAGCAGCATCAACCACTGCCGGGGCTACAGGTACAACTTCGGATGACTCTGCAGATTCTGAGGACAGGAAGCCACTTGGCTCAGGGTCATGGAGAGTAGTCAGTTTGTGGTACTTCAGACCAAGCTTGGGTGACAGGCTGCCTGTGTGTATGTGGAACATCGGTGGCATGGCAGGAGATGCAGCTGCAGTGCTGTTGGTATCTGCAAATGCAGTGCTGTTGGTATCTGCAAATGCAGTGCTGTTGGCAGCTGCAGTGATGATGGTATCTGCTACAGTGATGTTGACATCTGCCACAGTGCTGTTGGCATCTATAATAGGCATCTGAAAAAGTGTTTCCATCAATATAAGCTTAGTACAAAAAAACTTTTTTTACTGTTAACTACAGTTTTGGATATAAATAATAAATTGGAGAACTTAAATACAGTATATTACCATAGTTGGAAACATCTTGCAGTCCACTAAGTGATCAATGCTAGAACCTCTGGCGGTACAAAAACCACGTGCCTGGTGGAAAAAATAAAATCTTTAACTGAATTGTGTTAATTTCAAGCTGTTTTGAGAGGTGCCTTAGTAACCAGAGTTCTAAGAGTTCTATGATTTATTTACTTACAGCCATGGTGTCATTTTGGGGAACACAGGGGTCATCAGTGCAGTTAGCTTCAACTACAACATATTCTGCCAAATAGATTGGCCCCCCAGACACCACCTTAAACAAGGTATTGAGAAGTATTAACAGACTGATAAGCATATTTAACATCCATTAAATCTTAAGGGGGGGGAAAATAACTTAACATGATTGGACCCACCTGTGATGACATCCTTCCAACCTCCATAACAGCGTACTTGACATTTTCGTTCATGTTGTTGAAGGTTGCCAGAGAGGTGTGGACAAAGTTCAGTGCAGTAGTGTCGTTTAGGGGAAGGAGGGTATGACAGCCCAAGCACAAGTCCTCCGTAGATTCTACTGTATATGTCATTAAAGAAAGGTTTTTCTTTGTATGGGTTACATGTTTGGGCGTCTTCAGAATGTATGTGGGTGTCATATTGTTGACCAAGAAATGTTTTACCTTCTGTTTTACACTTGAATGCTGTGACGGTCATCACTCCGCCAATCCTCTTCAGCAGCACATCACAGTCTCCTTCTACTGCCTGGTAAGAGACAAATAATCAGTCTACCTGGCAGAACACGCTATCATTAATTCACAGCCTTATATTATCATAACCATGACATTTGGTTTAATTCATTTAGCTCCAATAGGAAAGCTTCTGTGTAGTAATGCCTCACCGTCATTCTTTTAGGCCTCACGGTGCAGTTTGCAAGAGGTGTGGGATCCAGGACATGACAGTCTGTCTCCAGCAGTTCAATATCCAACTTATATGTGTTGTCTCCATCAGGCTTTGGAAGGAAAAAAACTAATATTAATTACTTTAATTAAAGGGTTCTGATACGGGCAATTGTTAAAGGTATACTCACCATGAATGTTTTACTTTATCTATATTATGCACTTTCCAATGACATTTTACTACACGTATTTATGCATAGCATATTTTTATAGGACATTGTCTTTCCCTTTTTTTGAAATATTTTTTATGTTCATAAAAATATATACATTCATCATATCACAGTTTAATCTTCAAAATGATGTGATCCTGTAATGCAGGACATTTATGTCATGAGTTCTTGCTTTAAAGTTGAATAACAGCAGAGGAAAAAGAGAAACTATCTGTATGGATATTTTTGCACCTGCTGATATATAAACAAACTACACCTGCTGATTTACACAAATTACACCTGCTGACTTACTCTAAACCCGCTGATTTAAAAACACTCTACACCTCCTGATTAATGCGACTCTAAACATGCTGACTTACACACACTCTAAGACCGTTTCTCAATGTCGAGTATACCTACTGCAGAGCCACTATTTCAAGTATTCTACGTCATAGAGTGGTGCCGAATGCTGGGCATTTAACATGCATTTAAACAGTCCTTTGGCGCCACTCGATGACATAGTATACTTGAAATAGTGGCTCTGGAGCAGGTTTACTCGACATTGAGAAACGGCCTAAGTTTCCTGACTTGCGCACGATCTCCACCTGCTGACTTACCTTAGTGTAAACCTTGATGTCCTCGATTCTGTTCAGTGCATACTTGTAGCCATGAGTGTGCTGGGCGTTGAGGTAATCCTGAGCCGCCAGAGCAGCCTCCTCTGCCTCAGGGGAGTCGCACTGAGGTCGCTCTATATGAGCCCAAACCCCTAACAGTAGCCCCAGGACCACAGTGACACCCAGGGTATTCATTTTATTCGATAGATGCAATCAAGAAGTATCAGAGCAGTGGTGCAGATGAGGGTTAGAAGGAGAGGAGAAGCTCATGTAACCTGCAGAGTATATATCCTGTACTTAAATCAGAAAACTCAGCCTAGTTAAACCCCATGATCTTTCCCCCTGACTCCTGCGTCACATGTGGATCGTCCTCTGTTTTAGGATTGGTGCCAAAACAAATGGAAGCTGCCAAAGTATGCCGGGGACGAGCCTGTCTGAGTTCAAGTCCTTCACGGTTCACTATGGCGAGATATGTAGAAATATCGCACACTATCTTGGATTTCCATTAGGCTGGGCAGATTCAACACCAATCTTTCGAGAATGAAATAATAATGTGTGAAGAGATTCATGTTCAGACAAACACCCGTATTGTGTAACCAGCAGACAGCAAGGACCCAATGACTTGTTCAATGACACTTCAGTGAAGAGGATATTTGCCAACAAGAGGGACATAGTTGAGGGACACTCACTGCTACACCCACATATTTGTTCTGTGTTTCACCGTTTGCACAAGGGGTCTACACTCCAGGTCAGGAACAGGCTACTTATCGGAAATAATGATTAAAGTATTACCAGTAAAAAGATCCGCTTTTAGGGAGCTGAATCGGGGTCAAAACCTACAGATAATCGGATGTAGCTGTGCAAAGGATGTACTCGTCCACATCCTGTGCACGCCTTGGACTTTGGGCTCATACATTGAAGGGATAGTTTGGATGTTTTGGAATGGGGTTGTGTGAGGTACCCATAGTCAGTGTATTACATAGAAATGGCTGCTGGCACGGCCCCAGTTTGGAAAAACAGACAAAAGTTAAGGCAGGTCAACCACGATTAAGCAAGAGAAACCAAGTGGAGTTATAAAGGGAGAAACTCTGAGTTGCATGCTGATCAGGTTAAAAGGATTTGAGAAGGAAAACTTGCAAAGAAAATGTAACAGTTTTGTTAGGAACATTCCAATTTCCATGAGTGTGGACAAGGGAAGAAGAAAGAGCAAGGACATAATTATGGAATGGAGGGCTCAGAGTTCACCAGATCAATTGCACTGAGAGTACCCCCTATTCCAAAAATAAAGACAGACGTGAGTATCTTAGAACAGAAAATGAATGGCAAATTGATGAAGAAGGAGATAAAACAAGTATGTACCTGAGAATAGTTATTACCATTATCTCAAATGCACACAGACAAGGACAAACAGTGGCTTTTATATCCCTCAGTTTAACATTTCGAAAAGGGGTTAAAGGGAATATGTGTACAAATAATCTTACAAAAAAGTACACTAAGAAAGGGGGGTTTCACAAACTTCAGAAGTGAGTCATCACAAAGAACTGATAAGAAATGTTAAGCAAAGAAAAAATCAATACTAGTCTCAAATTGGATCACACAGGATTAAATGCCATTATGTCTGTAACTGTGGAGCTAAATAAAATGTGGAACATATCCTATTTCATTAGAACATGTATAAAACAGAAAGATAAAAGTTAAATGACAAATGGACAAAACAGCAATCTGATGTTGGTGCTGGGAACGCACCAAGAGCTACCAGAGAGGAATTATTTACTTCACTCAAGGTTGATGAGAATAATTACAAAACATGAAGTTTCACAGTGATGTACAGTAGGTGGCGGTACGGTTGTCAAAGTTATTTTGATCCGCCAGCAAAGTGAGAGAAGAAGAAAAGGAAGAATGTGATTGGTCTACGCAGGAGTGACACATTGCCCACGCGACTGCCAATGTGGACTAGATTGTAAACACTCGTGGAAGTGCGCTCTATGTTTAAAGGGTGAAACAGCTAATTGTTTTGTGTAAAATTGAAACTACTTTCATTCACAAACAAGTATATATGGTAGCTCTTTACAGACATTAATTCATCCTTCTTCAGAGCTTCAGAGAGGCACACGAGGCAGTAGCGGTAATGTTGCATGTTTAGCTAGCGGCTCACCATTTGTTGTTGTGTCAGTAAACCTAGCTGTGTTAGCTTCTTTAGCAAGTGTATTTCCTTTAAAAATCCTCATGTCAAGAAGAAACCACACCTGACAGGGAAAACTGAGCCTTGTGTGGTGTCAAATTAAGGAGGAAATCAAATATATACATATATATATATATATGTTAGGCTTGTGCAACTGACAGATTACCTGAACTGCTATGCAAAGCTTTGACAACCATTGAAAATGCATCCCCACATCTTTGCCAGATTTTAGATCCTACTAAAGTGTGTACAAATAACTGTTGCTATTGCAACCATGTTTTTTTTTTTTTACATTTTTGTTGTTGCAATGAAGCTCCAAAGTTGCTGTAGCCAATATATAAATACCACAATTGAAGTAAAAATCCTGCATTCCAACCCTTTTATAGGCAAAATGTACTCAAGAGTGAAAGGTGCAGCATAATGGCTACTGGCAGTATTATATAATAACATTATATGAGTTGATTGGTTTGATATACTGTATGTGTTGAGTAGCCCCAGCTTCTAAATACATGTGTTGCAGTACAATTATAGTATTTCTTACTTAAAAAAACACAGTGACATAAATAGAACTTGAAAATACTAAAAGTAGGCTCGAATATTTCAAAAGTAACCTAAGTACCAGTGGTGTAAAAAACATGTTCATAGTTACACCTGAGTACTGCAATATGGTGTGTTATATATATATTTTTTCTAAAACACTGTATCAAATGCTGATCTGTACTTTCAAAAAAAGAGTTTCATGATACTGTGATAAAAGCAAATGCAGATCTAACTGTTCATATTTCATGAAACATGTATGTTATGTTATTTTCCACTTATCATTTTTTTAAAGCATTTGATAGTGTTTATACACCATGCCAGCTTGCTTTTGGTAACACAATCTATTGAATCCTACTGTAATGCCTGTATCATGATTTTTGCAACATTGTTACCAATACACAGTAATCGGGTAATTAGTTACATTTCACCACTGCCTATGTAACTACTACATTACCCATCCATAACCTTCATGCATACCAATAAACCTGATCATAAGTCAGAAAAAACCCTTGTGAAACCTTCTATAATAACATGTTCATTCTGCATTGCAGCTGACATTCTACTTGAGATGCTACTGAAAGCAGAATGAAATACAAGGAGAGTGAGCTGTCATGGTGTGGGTGAGGATCTAAAGTATCAGAAGAACGTGGATCTCAATCTGAATCAGTGTTAAAGAGACGGTGATCCATGGCCTAGTCAGTACTTCAGCAGTGTTGCATATGAGCGATCTGACGGGATACCAACAACTCTCATGTGATCCTCCGTCTTTCAGTCTGACCAATCTCTCCCAGATGCAGCGAACACGCGGCCCGCGGAGCGAAGCAAAATGCCTCAAGAGGAAAAAGGGATTCATGTCTTTAGTTAAGGGAATTTCTCCCCTTCCTATACGAGCCAAGAAACACATGTACTCTAAATTACAGCTTTGGATGTGGAGGAAGAGGAGGGAGAAATGCTTTTTCGGAGCAAAGAAAAGAGCTCACAGGATCACCTCCAGCCCTTTACTCAGTGTGAAGACACGGTCACAGGAAAACAAAGTCCCAACCAATCACACACCAAAGCTCGAAGATTCAGACACAGCATCGGCTCTCAGGTGTGACACTGGAGCTTCAGAGGTAACGACCAGAGGGAAAGATTGCCTGCTGTCGCTTAGTGAATCTCTCAGTCCGTCAGAAACGTTAAATCCATCCAGTTATTTGCAGAACCAGGTCAAGGACACAAATGTTTCTGAGGGTAACACGAGTCAAACTTTGCTATCTCAGAAAAAAGAAGCTTTGGAACAACTCAGTAAAGTTACAGACCCTTTAACACTTTCTCAAACGGTGGAACCCGTGTTGAATACAGAAAGTAATGCATGTGGGTTGAACTCACATTTAAATAAAGAAAGGACATTGGTTCAGGCTCAAAGGCTAGAGGCTGGCGTCCAATCTGCTCCGCATCATTTGACTTCTGTGGCTCCAGGTGAGAATCAGATTCCAAAGAGACACACGAATAATGGCATCAGCAGTAAGTCTCCTCCAACTGACGTCAGACTGCTGGCAAAAGACATCCAAGGTACATTACTTTTATATTTACTTTAACCAATATTGTGTCAATATTTTTTGTTAACATTTTCAGTTTTTAGCTGCTTTTTAAGATGACTATGTTTCCATGTTTCTCTAGAATTTCTTGAGGACTTCTACAGAATATATGGTAGTTTCATCCCATTACAAAAGAGAGACGTGTTGAGACATCTGAAGAGGAAGTTCAACACTGATTTCAGCGGCAGGTAAATCTTTGTGAAGGACTCTGAATCGGACCGTCTTAAATAACTTTGAATCGTTTGGTTCTCTCTGCTTGTTGGATGAAAATCTATTTAGTTGCCATACTGCTCCATTTTGGCATAATGGATAATATGTAGCATTTGTCTTCATGAGTTGTCAACTAGTCGCTAAAGTCAAATCTGTTGTTATCTGCCTGAAACCTTTATAAACCAGTTTTTATCCACATTTAACTATTTGTTTGTTATATCTTTGCCCGTTAGCCTTTATAGCTCCTCTGCTCTGTGTCCACCAGGAAAACTCTTATATTAACTTAAGTTATTCATTTAGTTGAGTTATCAAAGAAACAAGGTAGACAAAGCTTAGCTATTGTCTTGCAGTCGCTCCGCCTCTCCATGTGCCTGCTGTTTAAACACTGAATTTAGTGTAAAACTCCTTTATTTAGTGTTTTATGAGTTTTTCGGGAGACTTCTATGGATGATTCGTCTCCCGAGAAATACCTCCTGAATATTGAACACTGAAGGAGTCCTGTTCCTAACTGGGACTAGATGACTTCAATGACCAAACTCTTTTTTGTTATTACTTTGTTTGAGAGACCCCTAGTGGCAGAAAATGACATGCTTTGTTACAAGGTCTCTAGAAGTGGAGCATTCAGAATGGAGTCTATAACGACCTTCATCTCAGGACCAATTATATATTGTCTTTTTCTCTATGCAGGACAAATATAGTCTTCCAAGAAGTGACCAAATACCAAGATGTGATGTTTCAGGAGCCCGTCCCCTGCTTCCAGGTGCTCTACAAGAAACACACGCTGACTCTGGAGGACTTGTCCACACTGGCAGATCAGAACTGGCTCAACGACCAGGTCAGCATCTCACACACACACCTTAGGTTTCTCATGCTGATTCTGAGAAGAACATTTTCTGTAAAGAAGAGAAGCCTGAATGTTCAATGTTTTGTCTCTTCAAGGTCATGAACATGTATGGAGAGTTGATTATGGAATCCGCGCATCACAAGGTAAATTCTACCTACATGTTTTTTCCTTTTTTAAATATAATTGGAACACCAGCTTGGTGAAGTTTTTACCTGCCAAGGTTTTTAAAAATATTTCCAGTGTTAGAATACATATTCTTTACCAGTTATGGTATTATAAATTCTTCCAAAAAGTTGGATGAAAGGATTGATACTACTGCCATGTCTGTGCGCTAAATACTAAGCTAGTTTAGCTACCGTTAGCTTAGCAGAAGACTGAACTGGGGAATTATTTCTGTTCAAAAGTAACAATATCTGCCAAGCAGCATCTCCAAAGATCACAGTTTATATAAAACGACAGTTATTCTTTTACAAGGTTATATTTGGGACTATTTGCTGGTCAAATGCTGTGACTTATTGAAGACTTGTCATCGTTATGGCAACTATTGCCATACAACCACTAGATATAAGGGATTTCCTGAATTGTTGTAATGTTCCTTTAGTTAGTTAATACTTGCCCATAATTCCCAGAATTGCGCTATTTCTCTATCCAAACTGTGCAGTAAATACTTATATAAATATACTCAAGCGTACCCACTATGTCTGAATTTCTGACTAGTATAAATACACATTCTGGATTTGAGACTAGGAGGCGGAGTCGCTGTCTTACACGCTTCTCTGCGCTCTCTCCTGGGCAGTCATTCATAGGAATCCCGAACCCAATAAAATACCCAATATTAAAGGTGGGGTAGGTCATTTTGGAGAAACCAGCTTGAGTGTGCTAGAATTTGAAAATACACAGCCGGAAGAAATCTGCCACTTCCTTACAGAGCCCCTCCTCCAACACACACGAACGCGCACATGAACCATTGAGGGCACAAGATACGTTTGTGCACAGATGGAAGGCTGACAGGCAGGTAGGCCATCCAGTTATTTTAGCCGGGCGGCTAAAGTGATTGGTCATGCTTTTTACAGTACTACGGCTTCCACAGATGATGGAATTTTATGTATTTATTGTCAAAGCACTTAAGATATTCATTGCTATCGGGATGTTAAGAGCATTCCATGGAATATAACAAAAAATGTATCTCGAGCCGGTTTCTCAAACGTACCTACCCCACCTTTAACGGTTCGTGTGTCTGCCCAAGGACAATTTAAGGTAAAACCTAATAGAGGTGTCATACCAGTGGCGGTTCTACAGGGTGGCACGGGGTGGCACAGCTGCCATCTCAGAAAAATGCCTTGCCACCCCAGCTGCCACCCCAGTTGGCAGCTTTGTTTTGAAAGAAAAGTTGTGGCTCATCGGACATTTATGAGAGAAAATCTCTAATGTCCGAGTGCAAGTGAATGCAGCACAAGACGCGCCTTGTAACCCCTCCTGTTTAAAAGGCATACTGTAGTGCGAATATGAGCAGCTCAATTAAAAGCAGCCAAAGAGATATGTTTTTAGTCTCGATATAAAAATAGTAAGCGTTTCTGCGGACGTGCATGATTTGGGTAGTTTGTTCCAGAATGTCGGGGCATAATAGCTAAATGCTGCCTCTCCATGTTTTGTTTTTACTCTCGGAACCGATAGCAGACCCGTCCCAGAAGACCTGAGGCACCTTGATGGCTCGTAATTATGTAGGAGTTCAACAATATACTTTGGTCCTAAACCATGTAATGATTCAAAAACTAGCAATAGTAGCCTACTTTAAAATCAATTCTTTGGCCGACTGGAAGCCAGTGTAAAGATTTCAGAACTGGACTGATGTGATCCACTCTTTTAATGTTAGTGAGGACACGAGCAGCGGCGTTCTGAATCAGCTGCAGCTTTCTGATGGATTTTTTTGTCAGCACTGTGAATACACTATTGCAGTAGTCGAGTCTACTAAAGATAAAAGCATGGACAAGCTTTTCTAAGTCCTGTTGTGACATTAGTTTTTTAATCCTCGATATGTTCTTCAGGCTGTACNTCTGTGAGAACAGCACCATCTACAGGCCTGGCCTATGTACTACAGCGTCTCCAGTGCTTTCGAACGGCAATGTCCGTGGCTGTCTCCTCCTGATTGGTGGAGTTCCACCAATCAGGAGGAGACAGCCACGGACATTGCCGTTCGAAAGCACTGGAGACGCTGTAGTACATAGGCCAGGCCTGTAGATGGTGCTGTTCTCACAGAATCAGCCCATGCAAAGACAGTGTTAAATTGAGCGAAATGAGGAATGGCTAAAATGCACGATCTGTTTGGTATTTTGAAAAATAAAAAGTATAAATATGCCTTAGCATGATAGGTCCACTTTAAAGTGGACCTATTATGCTATATTGGAAAAATATATTGTAGGGCCATACCTCTACAAAACATGTCTGTGAAGTTTTTCGCTTAAAATACCAAACAGATCACCCATTGTATAGACCCTCCAGAAAAACGCGAGCAAAAATCCTTGATTATGCGGGCTAAATTCCTTGATTATGCGGGCTAAAATCCTTTATTATGCGATTAAACATGCGGGGTTTTATTTGATTTTATGCGGTGAAACTGCGGGAAGTTGCGAAATATGCGGAAAGTTGCGAAATATGCGGGG